TTGCTATGTTTTTGCTTTGCAGCAACTAATTCTATACTTTTTGATGGTTTTTGTTGCAAATAGCTTGCAAATAGCTTGTATTTCTTCATTTTTGCATGCTATTTGCAACAAAAACCATAGAAAAAAGGAAGAAACACAAGCTATTTGCAAGCTATTTGCAACAAAAACCATCAAAAAGTATAGAATTAGCTGCTGCAGAGCAAAAACAGAGCAATGACATAGCAAAAACATTGCAAAAACATAGCAAACCTTCCAGCAAAAATTGTATTTTTTAGATTTGTCGACTATGCAAAAATTTTGCTCTGTTTTTGCTATGTTTTTGCTTTGCAGCAGCTAATTCTATACTTTTTGATGGTTTTTGTTGCAAATAGCTTGCAAATAGCTTGTATTTCTTCATTTTTGCAAGCTATTTGCAACAAAAACCATAGAAAAATGAAGAAACACAAGCTATTTGCAAGCTATTTGCAGCAAAAACCATCAAAAAGTATAGAATTAGTTGCTACAAAGCAAAAACAGAGCAATGACATAGCAAAAACTTAGCAAACCTTCCAGCAAAAATTGCATTTTTTGGATTTTGTCGACTCTTCAAAATTTTGCTATGTTTTTGCTATGTTTTTGCTTTGCAGCAACTAATTCTATACTTTTTGATGGTTTTTGTTGCAAATAGCTTGCAAATAGCTTGTATTTCTTCATTTTTGCAAGCTATTTGCAACAAAAACCATAGAAAAAATGAAGAAACACAAGCTATTTGCAAGCTATTTGCAACAAAAACCATCAAAAAGTATAGAATTAGCTGCTGCAAAGCAAAAACAGAGCAACGACATAGCAAAAACATAGCAAACCTTCCAGCAAAAATTGTATTTTTTAGATTTTGTTGAATATTCGAAATTTTGCTATGTTTTTGCTATGTTTTTGCTTTGCAGCAACTAATTCTATACTTGTTGATGGTTTTTGTTGCAAATAGCTTGCAAATAGCTTGTATTTCTTCATTTTTGCAAGCTATTTGCAACAAAAACCATAGAAAATTGAAGAAACACAAGCTATTTGCAAGCTATTTGCAACAAAAACCATCAAAAAGTATAGAATTAGTTGCTGCAAAGCAAAAACAGAGCAATGACATAGCAAAAACATAGCAAACCTTCCAGCAAAAATTGCATTTTTTAGATTTTGTTGACTATTCAAAATTTTGCTATGTTTTTGCTATGTTTTTGCTTTGCAGCAACTAATTCTATACTTTTTGATGGTTTTTGTTGCAAATAGCTTGCAAATAGCTTGTGGTTCTTCATTTTTTCTATGGTTTTTGTTGCAAATAGCTTGCAAAAATGAAGAAATACAAGCTATTTGCAACAAAAACCATCAAAAAGTATAGAATTAGTTGCTGCAAAGCAAAAACATAGCAAAAACATAGCAAAAACATAGCAAAAACATAGCAAACCTTCCAGCAAAAATTGCATTTTTTTGATTTTGTTGGCTATTCAAAATTTTGCTATGTTTTTGCTATGTTTTTTTGCTATGTTTTTGCTATGTTTTTGCTATGTTTTTGCTTTGCAGCAACTAATTCTATACTTGTTGATGGTTTTTGTTGCAAATAGCTTGCAAATAGCTTGTATTTCTTCATTTTTGCAAGCTATTTGCAACAAAAACCATAGAAAATTGAAGAAACACAAGCTATTTGCAAGCTATTTGCAACAAAAACCATCAAAAAGTATAGAATTAGTTGCTGCAAAGCAAAAACAGAGCAATGACATAGCAAAAACATAGCAAACCTTCCAGCAAAAATTGCATTTTTTAGATTTTGTTGACTATTCAAAATTTTGCTATGTTTTTGCTATGTTTTTGCTTTGCAGCAACTAATTCTATACTTTTTGATGGTTTTTGTTGCAAATAGCTTGCAAATAGCTTGTGGTTCTTCATTTTTTCTATGGTTTTTGTTGCAAATAGCTTGCAAAAATGAAGAAATACAAGCTATTTGCAACAAAAACCATCAAAAAGTATAGAATTAGTTGCTGCAAAGCAAAAACATAGCAAAAACATAGCAAAAACATAGCAAAAACATAGCAAACCTTCCAGCAAAAATTGCATTTTTTTGATTTTGTTGGCTATTCAAAATTTTGCTATGTTTTTGCTATGTTTTTTTGCTATGTCAAAACATTTGCTCTGCAGTTTTGCTATGTTTTTGCTATGTTTTTTTGCTATGTCAAAACATTTGCTCTGCAGTTTTGCTATGTTTTTGCTATGTTTTTTTGCTATGTCAAAACATTTGCTCCGCAGTTTTGCCATGTTTTTGCTATGTTTTTTTGCTATGTCAAAACATTTGCTCTGCAGTTTTGCTATGTTTTTGCTTTGCAGTTTTGCTATGTAAAAACATTTGCTCTGCAGGCTTGCTATGTCAAAACATTACGTAAGTGGTTCCCTTTTGAAGTTGCAGTTTTGCGCATTAGTCTTTAGTACATACATACATGCATACATACATACATAGATAGTTACATGGATGCATACATACAAACAGACATACACACACATTACATCTGTTACATACATTACGTCATTACGTACAGTACATACATTACATACATTTCATTGCATATGTTACATGGGTGACATCTATGACACACCTGACGTAAATTTCCATACATTATGTACATTGGCATACACTGCGTACATTACATACATACATTTCATTACATAAATTACATTAGATTACATTACATACATACATAAATCACTACATACATCACAAACTTTACATATATTACATTGCATACACTCCATTGCATATGTTACATACAATACATACATCACAAGCATGACATACATTACATACCATAACATACCATACCATGCCATACCATACCATATATATGTACGTACATCCATACATACATGCATGCATACATACTTACATAGATACATACATACATATATACATGCATACATACATACATACATACATACGTACGTACGTACGTACCTACCTACATACATACATACATACATACACACACATACATACATACATACATTACATACATACATACATACATACATACATACATACATACATTACATATCCAACATGATGTACATTGACTATATATGCATGCTTTACAGACAGACATACATTACATACTTGTATTTCATACATCACGTACATTACATACATTACATGCATTAGATACATACATCAATGCACCACATCTTATACTCATGCAACTTTCATTCATTATACATTACACACCTTACATGTCTTACATACATACTTAAGTCTTGCACATAACATACCTGAAGTACCTTACACCTTACACTTACGCACTCTACTCTACATACATTAAATTATCATTACATGACATACTACCTACCTACATACATTACATTACATACATTCACTTTTTAGTCTACAATAGACCATACATACATACAAATGACATACATACATGACAACACGCATGGGATAATCATGTTTATAATCCTGGCATGTGGGGCCAGTGAAGTGATTCTAGATTCTAGCTGCAATGCAATCCAGGCCACATGCCCCCACATTGCAAGTTTACCTTGCAAAGGTTTCAGTCCCTCATACTTGCACTGCAAGTTTGCAGAGCAAAGGTTTCAACATAGCAAACTTACATTGCAAAAACGGAGCAAAATCCAGCATCTTCGGAGTTAAGCTCTTTAGGCTGGATGCAAAGCATAAATCTAGTCTTTTTTGGTGTATAACCAGACCTTTCGCAAAGATGTCACTCGGATAATCTCGGATACTAAAAGTCCATGGCTTAAAAGGAACGACTCCCTTAAGTGGATGAAAAATCGGATTTTTGTTGCGGTGTTTTAACATGTGAAATAACATGTTCTAACATGGTTTAACATGATCAACAAAATATCTAACCGTTAATGGGGGTTACAAATCAACAAAGGCACCACGATCTCCCTGGGCACCAGATCTATCCAGATCTCTCGTTGATGTGAAAAAAACATGCGAAGAATTGGCGAAATAATGCGATTGTAGACATATTATATTGATATGTATTGTTACTGCTGTTACGCAGGCACCTTGAACTCCTCGCTTCACGCCTTGTTTTCCGTCTCGGACTGGCGATCTGTTTGAGCTAAAAAAGCAGCTATATGGATCGGCTTATGTCTCAGCCTGAAATTGGAAATGAATGCACAGGTGAAAAACTGCATGTTTCATTGATGCACAAATGGAAAATGAAGGAATGGAAATCTGCACTCCTCCTTTGGAGAGACGTCAGGCCCTCCAAAATTTCAAGAACTCTCAGACTCAAGCTGCTTTTCTGTCTAGTTGGTTTGGCCTGCGTCGAGGTCCTGACAAGCTTGGCACGCTCTGATGGCTCTTTGAGAATGACGGCGTGGACATCTGTCATCCACATGATATGATCCTCCCCAATGATCAACCCACAAAGGAACTCCAGGAGGGGGTCTTCCACGAGTCTGCAGAGAAATCGCTCTGCACATCCAGCACCATCCTGACTCCCTATGTGATCCAGTTTGAGGAGATGACAAATAGTGGCAGTCAGATCGAAAATGATAAACACCGCCAAATCTCGTGGTCAACACCTGAAAAAGGGGCTGACTGTCTTCATCACTTCGTTCATAATTGTAAAACCTGTCGGGATCTCGTTGGGCTTCATCATATAGAATCGCTTCTTCTTCAGCAATTCTGAGCAACTCGCCTTCGATGTCCACTTCGGGGATGTGTCGTTCATCCAGTGGACGATATGGACGCTCCTCAGAAGATTCGCTGGATGGGTCTTCAAACCTTGACGGCGACTGGGGCAATGTCGCTCCCTGCCCTTCAGTGCTTGGTGGAGGTCGCCGGGGAGATAGTTGATCTCCCCTTACCATACCCACCGCACCAGTGCTTGGTGGAGGTCGCCGGGGAGATGTTTGATCTCCCCTTACCATGCCCACCGCACTAGGTGGGAGGCGTACGGGTTGTTGCCACTCCTCCGCAACCCCCCGGCTCTCACCACCTTTTCCTTTTCCTTTTCTTTCTGCAACAAGGCCTTGATTGGCCGATCCAGCCTGACTTCGCACTCTGGTTCTCAGCCTCTCTGTCCAAGCCTTCCACAAGCATTGAATCGCCAACGTAGCCCCGATCACCATCACGGTGAATACGGCCATCATCATGTTGAATTCCATCATTCCATCTTGATCTGATTCCTCCTCTTCTTCTCCTTTCGCTACTGACAAAACTGCTGCAAGTGTCAGCAGCTTCAAAGCCACAGCTGCCTTCTCAAGGTCAGCTCCAGCTCCTTCTCTCAACCTCAAAGCCACAGCTGCCTTCTCAAGGTCAGCTCCAGCTCCCTCTCCCAACCTTGAAGCCACAGCTGCCTTCTCAAGGTCAGCTCCAGCTCCCTCTCTCAACCTTGAAGCCACAGCTGCCTTCTCAAGGTCAGCTCCAGCTCCCTCTCTCAACCTTGAAGCCACAGCTGCCTTCTCAAGGTCAGCTCCAGCTCCCTCTCTCAACCTTGAGACGCTCTCGTCCACGTTCTTCTCTTCTTCCTCCTTTTCAGTGCTTGGAACTTCAAACATGTTCATTTCTTCTCTCAAAACCTTGATCCGCTCTGACGACAGAGGCTTCGTGCCGATATCCGCCGTCATCTTGTTTCCTGGTTGATGTTGAATCGACCAATTCCCTTGGTTGATCGACTGTCTCGCAGCTGCTGCTCGAAGACGGAGATGTCTGGTTCTCCATGATCCGCCATCTGAAGAGAGGATTGAAAGGGCAGCTTGAGAGTCTGTCCACGATTTTCGGTGGAGCTCTCCATAAAGCTCATCAGCTATCGCTCCTATTGACTCCCCAGCTACCATGCTCTCCATAATTTCCATCATCTCTGCCTCTGCCGTCGACAGGGTGATGAAACTCTGCCTTCCGCTCCTCCAAAAAACCAAACATCCAGCAACCTTCACCAAAAAGGCTCCATGGCTCACCTCACCTTCTGGTGCAAAACTGGCGTCTGAAAAAGCCTCAATCATGACCGGATCTTGACCTGCTGCATCAAAACGCAGGCCCAACTTCCATGTCTTCTTGAGGTATCCTTTGATCTGTTGGTAGATTTGAAGAACCTTTTGAGGGGCCTTTGTGACATTGGACCCCATCCTCGAAACTGCATACATCAAATCAGCTCTGGTGCGCGTCACAAGCCACAGCATCTCTCCCGTGGCCTTCTGTGCAGCCTTGATCAAGTCGGGGGTCTTTTTCTCCTCCGCTGCAAACTGACTCTGATCCTTGGTGATGGGGATCTTTCGCTCCAAAACTTCATCCTCATCTTGGGCTAGGAGCTCCTTGATGTAGGACTGCTGGCCGATGTACCAAATGTCACGGCCCTTCTCTTGGTCAAAAACCTTTGATATTTCCACCCCCAAGAACCTGATTGGTTTGACTCCCACCTGATCTGGTTCAGATGTGGTCCACAGCTTTCTGATGCTCGTCATGACCGCCTCAACGACATCATCACTTCCGGTCACAAAGATGTCGTCAACGTAGGTCATCAACAGCCCCTTCATCAATGGGACTGTCTCGGAATCCTGACCCTCCTCCTCAATGCGCCAGAGATTGGGTTCAGAGTCCAATGGGATCAGCCTCAATGTGAGATCTCGTTCTCCTTCTTGGACATGAACCTTCATGTGGTGAAGGCCCTCATCGCGGCAGTCGCCCCAAAGCCGTGGGGATCTGCGGAGCCCATAGACAGCTCGCTTCGGAAGGTAGTATGTGCCTGCCTTCATGTATCGTTTCTCCAAAAGCAGCGGTGGAGGTTTCACCAGCAACAAACTGGGCTGGTCTTGTGGATCCATACTGGCATTCAAAAAGGCAGTCTTGATGTCAACGGTCCCGGCCGCCCACTGATGTTTTGAGGCCGTGACCACCAAAAGTCGTAGTGCTGATGCATCAGCGCCAGAGCTAAAGGTGTTCTCACCTTCTTTCACCTGTTCAAAATTGCCGCAAATGACCCATCGAATCTTGTTGCGGCCACCTTTCTTTCCAGGCTTTTTCGTGCACACCAGCTTGGACGGCAAAAACTCAACCTGCATGCCTTTCTCTTCAGCCTCCTTGAGAAGGGCCTCCAGCTTTTCACCACTCACTTCCTCCATCGCCTCTTTTTCTTCAAGAAGTGAACTCACCTCTGCATCTATAGCAGGAAGCCATTCCTGCCACTTCTTGGACACTTCCTGCAGTGAAATGATCTTGGTCTGCAAGATCTCGTCGTCCTCATTGACTTCCTGTGAGTTCAGGATCTTCTTGAGAGACGCCAAGATTTCTATCTCTTCTGTGATCAACTCTTGATCATCTTCCAGCATCATTTTCATCTCCTCCTCCACTACCTTTGTAAACTGCATCCGCATCTTTGCGACTTTGGCCGCTTCCTCCTCTTCATCATTCTCAGGTTCTTCCATCTGAAGCCTTCTAACCGTGGTCTTTCCTCTCAATCTCCTCCTCTTTGTCAGCGCATCCAAAACTTCTCGCTCTACTGCAAGCCAGACACCTTCATCTGGTCGTTCCAAAGCTTTTCTCATGAAACACCGTGTGACTCGTGGTGCCTCATCTCCAGCCTTGATCCAGTGTCCATTCTCCTCTGGCGCTGGACCCAAATATTTTGAAACCTCAACTGTTGGCTCAAACGCCTGCTTCTTCCATCGTCTCCTCCTCACCAAAACATCTTGCAGAAACAATGGGAAGTCAGGAACCTTGTCCAGCCTTTGGCATCTGTAAACCTCATTCAAATATCGCAATGCCCAGGGCCACCATTGCGACCCAACTCCAGCATGCATCAGGATCCTTCTGATCTGGTTTTTCACTGACTTCACCGTGGCTTCAGCTCTTCCATTGGCTCTTGGATCGTCTCCAGACGTTCTCGTGAGAAGGATGCCTCTCGCCTTCATCCATGTCTCAAAGCTTCCAAGGAATTCATGGCCTCTGTCTGAGTGAATCCTTGATACTTGGTATCCATCCATTTTCAACTTGAGGATCATCTCCATAGCCGCCCTCGTCACCTCTTTGGCCTTTTTGGATCGCATGGGAAGTGCCATCTTGAAGACTCGCATCTCAAGCTCTTCTTTTGGATCCGGCTCTTCCGGACCTTCGACCTTTTCCTCCTCCTCCTGAGCCTCAACTGGCTGTTCAGCATCAGCGGGTGGAGGTCGCCGGGGAGATAGTTGATCCCCCCTTACCATGCCCACCACGCTGGGCGGGAGGCGTTCGGGTTGTTGCCACTCCTCCGCAACCCCCCGGCACTCACCGCCATCATCCTGTTCCTCCTCCCTTTTTTCCTCTGCCAGCTCCTCAGCTTCCGCAGGTGGAGGTCGCCGGGGAGATGATTGATCTCCCCTTACCATGCCCACCGCGTTGGGCGGGAGGCGTTCGGGTTGTTGCCACTCCTCCGCAACCCCCCGGCACTCACCGCCGTCATCCTGTAAAGCCTCGAGAGCTGGAGCTTCTTCTAACCCTCCTTCTTCCTCCTAGAAAGTATCGGCACTTCCATCCTCCAACATCACTCGCAGGAAATAGAGGACCGCAAGTATCCAATGCCAAAACTCCTGCCTGTGGATGTTTGACTTTCCTGTGTGGGAAATTCTGTTGTGATGCCCTTTGACAAACTGCACAATCACGTCGATAGGGCACATGCCCAAATGCAACATGTTCTTCAAACGTCAAGGCCTTCAACTGAGGTGTTTGTTTGAAAACCTCTTTGACTGTTGCGGCACCAACTGCATCCATCAACCCCGGAGCCCACCTCTCCAGTTGCTTGGAACTCTTGACCTCTTGATCACGTTGAAGTGGTCTTTCATAGTCTTCCATGCACAGGTCAAAGGTGGTGCCAAGGGTCGTTGGTTTTGGTGCCAAACCTCCAAGATTCCCTTGATTGAAGGTCACCTCATTGAGCTTGAACTCATCTCGGATCCCTTTCCATTCTTTGGTGTCCCAAAATGAGACTGCCTCTGGTTCATAGGACTTTGGTGAAGCTGGCTGCTCAAGCACCAGATGTACAGGGTCAACTTTCATCTGCGCTCGTCTGGTGTACTCGGCAACCATGAACAAAAACAGCATGCGCCACATCAACACATCATCCTCTCGCAACATCGCTTCTTCTTTTGAAGTGATCCAGGGTGCTCCAAATTCACCTCCATCCCAACACCTAATTGGCCTCGGAGCATCAGGCTGGCCAGGTACTGGACGATGTCGCAAAACGCTTCGGCTCCTGCAGTTGGGGCCACCAATCACTGAAAGGATCTTTCCTTCTACTGCTGCCCTCAACAGCGCAGCATAAGGGCCATTCCCTTTCAAAAGGTCATGTGATGGCCCGTGCTTGATGTCAATTTCCAACAGTCGCTGGTGGGGCCCACCTTGGCCCTTGATTGATCTCTTCAGAGTATAGCCTTCTTCATCTCCTGAAAACAAGTGCAAAGCAAATCCTCCTTGTCTCAAAGTTCTGCGATGCCTTCGATTGACAGGAAGAAGGTTCCAGTCGGAAGCAACCACGGTGCCCTACTGTGAAGGAGCTCCATCTGTTTCACTTGTTCTTCTGTGAACAATGGTTGAAAAACTTCTGGAGATCCTACTGGTTGACTGTGAGGAGTCTGAACAGCAGTCCAAACACCACTTTCTCTTCCTCCCCCTGTCTCACCAACTGAACGCCTGTTGGCCTCTTCTTTCCGAGGTCCTTCTATTGTCGCCGGAGTTCTCACAGTTCCTGGCTGACTATCACCTGGATTGGCTTGGCCAGGGGCGGAGGCAGTTGATCCTGGTCTGGCTGGGGTGATGGCAGCAGGTGAAGTCTTGGGGTGGTCTTGGCTAGCCCTATCGCTCCTACTTTCTATTTGCGCAGGCGACGACCTTTCTTTTGGGGCATCCTCTAACCTCAACCTTTCTTCCTTTGACTCTTGTCCTACTGTTTCCTCACCTTTGGCATCTTCCAGGGGCAACTCCTGACTTTCTTTTGCTTCCCTTTCAAGCCTTTCTTGCGCCTTTTTCATCTCTTCCATACCTTGTTGCAACTCCTGATTAGTTGCTCTCCTTCGTTGCATTTGCATGGCAAGCCCTTGGGCTCATAACCTGCTGTTACGCAGGCACCTTGAACTCCTCACTTCACGCCTTGTTTTCCGTCTCGGACTGGCGATCTGTTTGAGCTAAAAAAGCAGCTATATGGATCGGCTTATGTCTCAGCCTGAAATTGGAAATGAATGCACAGGTGAAAAGCTGCATGTTTCATTGATGCACAAATGGAAAATGAAGGAATGGAAATCTGCAGTTACAATTGTTATATAGATCATTATATATATGTGTAATAGTGATATGTATTGATATATATATAAAATAATAATCTATATAATTTTATATAATCTATAATGATCATACGTAGCAAATGACAATGTTTCTAAAGGATTATCATGATCTTGGTGATATCACAAAATGTGTATCCCCTTCAGAAAATCCCCTTCCATTTTTTCCCGACACCGAGTGATGCCATGCCAAGTGTCTCTCCCTCAAAGGTGTGGATGTGAGGATCACCCTCCACCACTGCTCCCGTGGTGGTCGGCGGCGGCTCGTTTACCATTGGTGTCGTCGTGGTGGTGCTGCAAAGCCGCAAAGTTTGCAGACCACCTGGCGAAACAGCAGCCGGAAACAGCCGGAAACAGCAGTTCACTTTGGAGGAAATCCATGGAAATCCATGATTCATCATAAAGATATGGGATTTTAGATGATTTTAGCAACCGAAATAGCTGGTGTTTCTTCGCTGTAATCAAGGGAAAGAAATATAAATGGAGATCTACCTTGCAGAATCTGGCATGTCTAGACGAAATGGCCACAAAGTTTGGGTGTGGCCAGCGTCATTTCAAAAGATCTCAATGGGGAAGTTTGCCCGACAAAGACATGTACAGTAATACAGTTTAGTTTGCTTGGTTTTCATCATCGATTCGATGGTCAATATCCCTGCAATTCGACATGTGAAGCAGAAGTAAATCCCGCATAATCCCGCAACCAACTTCCCAAAATCCTCAAATCTCAATATTTCTGCCCAGTATCTACTATCACAAACCTTCCTCTGGCACGGCACACATTATCTTCCCATCATCCGTGTGCTTAGTGGATCATCCCGTCGATAATTAGTCACTGCGCAGTATACGCATATGATTCAATTTACATCCGTGAAAACAATGTCAGATGTCATAATTGGTGTGCAGGTTTTATACCATTTATACAGCATATTTATATCCCATCTACAATTGGCTCATAACTTAGAATAACTTGCCCACAGCTACAATCACCACCATTCTCCCCAGTCCCCTGTTTTTTCCCACCTGATCCGCCATAAGTCACATTCACAAACTGGACATCGTTCGGTGGCAACTGTTGGTTCGTGGAGATGTCCTCGGTGACGCCATTGTTGTTGCCGGAGACGGGAATGTTGACCGTGTTTGATGCTCCGTTCTCATTCTGCCAGGTGAACAAGGAGCCTTCACCTTAGGCCGCTTTGAAATCGTTCCCTTTGGGATCACCATCCTATTTAAAAAGTTTTGGGGAAAAAACACATCTTTGATTTTGGCTCAACTTGGTATTTTCACGGGAAAATCTGTTGAAAGGGATGATTGCCTCTGGGAATTGTTCGTTGGGCTCATCATCCCATGGTTTGCGGAAGAACAAACTATATAAGAATGGCCACTCATTTGTACGCGATGTTTGCGCCATGCCATACACATTCCCGTATGGTCCAACATGTTGGATGTCAGTAAATACACATAATATATCATAATATCATGTTGAAATGCCAACTCTAGCCTAACTCAACCTCTGTCATCTTCGACTCTTTGGTTGTTTTTTGGGTTCCAATTTTTTTTCCCCACCTGCCAGGTGAGGGTCTCTGGCCACTGTGGGAACGGAGCCGAGACCTATGGCAAGCTCCCAAAACCCGAACACATCCCAAAAAGAATGTCAGACAAGAAGTCAAAACAAATTGTCAAATAACATGCCAAATGCAGAGAAAATATCAGATAGAATGTCAGAACATATGTGAGAGAAAATGTCAGGTGGAATGGCAGATGGAATGTCAGAAAATATGTAAGAGAAAATGTCAGGTGGAATGTCAGATGGAATGTCAGAAAATATGTGAGAGAACATGTCAGATAGAATGTCAGAAAATATGTGAGAAAATGCCAGATAGAATGTCAGAAAATATGTGAGAGAAAATGTCAGGTGGAATGGCAGATGGAATGTCAGAACATATGTAAGAGAAAATGTCAGGTGGAATGGCAGATGGAATGTCAGAAAATATGTAAGATAAAATGTCAGGTGGAATGTCAGATGGAATGTCAGAAAATATGTGAGAGAACATGTCAGATAGAATGTCAGAAAATATGTGAGAAAATGCCAGATAGAATGTCAGAAAATATGTGAGAGAAAATGTCAGGTGGAATGGCAGATGGAATGTCAGAACATATGTGAGAGAAAATATCAGGTGGAATGGCAGATGGAATGTCAGAAAATATGTAAGAGAAAATGTCAGGTGGAATGTCAGATGGAATGTCAGAAAATATGTGAGAGAACATGTCAGATAGAATGTCAGAAAATATGTGAGAAAATGCCAGATAGAATGTCAGAAAATATGTGAGAGAAAATGTCAGATACAATGGCAGAAAATATGTGAGAGAAAATGTCAGGTAGAATGTCAGAACCTATGTGAGAGAAAATGTCAGGTGGAATGGCAGATGGAATGTCAGAAAATATGTAAGAGAAAATGTCAGGTGGAATGTCAGATGGAATGTCAGAAAATATGTGAGAGAACATGTCAGATAGAATGTCAGAAAATATGTGAGAAAATGCCAGATAGAATGTCAGAAAATATGTGAGAAAGAATGTCAGATACAATGTCAGAAAATGTGTGAGAGAAAATGTCATGGAATGTCAGAAAATGTGTGAGAAAATGCCAGACCACATGTCAGAAAATATATGAGAGAAAATGTCTGATATACAGAATGTCAGAAAATATGTGAGATAAAATGTCAGATAGAATGTCAAAAAAAAAGATGGAGAATGTCAAATAGAATGTCAGAAAATATGTGAGAAAATGTCAGACAGATAGAATGTCAGAAAATATGTGACTGTGAGAGACAATCTCAGATAGAATGTCAAGAAAATATGTGAGAAAAAATGTCAGGTAGAATGTCAGAAAATATGTGAGAGAAAATGTCAGGTGGAATGGCAGATGGAATGTCAGAAAATATGTGAGAGAAAATGTCAGGTGGAATGTCAGATGGAATGTCAGAAAATACGTGAGAGAACATGTCAGATAGAATGTCAGAAAATATGTGAGAGAAAATGTCAGATACACTGTCAGAAAATATGTGAGAAAATGTCAGGTGGAATGTCAGATGGAATGTCAGAAAATATGTGAGAGAACATGTCAGATAGAATGCCAAAAAACAATTGGAGAGAAAATGTCAGATAGAATTGCAGAAAATGTGTCAGAGAGAATGTCGGATAGAATGCCCAATAGATTGTCAGAATATCTGTCAGATAAGATGCCAAACAGAATTTCAGATAAAAAGACAGACAGAATGTCAGAATATATACCAGACGGATAGAATCGAATGTCAGTGGGGATCACTCTGACAGTTCCATTATTTTACCATTGCACTTTTGGGTATACCCAATTTCTGGGCACAGCCATGCGATTCGCCCAGTCGCCATTTTCGTTGTCCCAAAAGCTATATGACAGCACCGGCTGTGGCGGAACGAGCTGCAAAGAGATAATGCTACCACCTGGTACGATCAAAGAAAGGATTGAAGGGAAAATCCATGGCAACATCTACACAAAGCCATCGGTTTTAACATGTTTTAACCATCACCATAGTGGTTTCCTGTATCTCCCCATCATACACGGTGTGTGACAATACCGTTCTCACCCAAAAATCCAGACTTTAATGGTTCATCAGCCAAAACATGTATATATATATCTAAATATATTTGAAGTCAGTATGCATGACAAACCAAACACGCTTAGATGTGCATGGCACCAAACTATATATATTGCTCTTTCTGTATATATTACAACCAAGTTGGACCCACGTTCATGTCAGCAGGGATTCCAGCTTGTCTATGAACTCCCCGCTCGAGAGGGTTCCAGGGTACCAGCCCCTCTGTTACGTCCCATCTATTGAGCACCCGTTTATGTGCTTCTGCGAGGTATACTTGCATAGATATATTTATAATAAATGTATATCATGTATAATCCCTAATATCCCTATTATAATATTAAACATCCCACAGAAACCATAGTCATACCATCGTCTAGTGAGGATTTTAAACATACTTTTGGACCATAGAATAGGGGTGTAATCTGAGCGGGGGATGGGATGCAAAGCCCAGGACAAGGGACAAGGACCGGTTTGAACATCGAAAAGCACATTTGAAACATTGATTTACATCACGGGTTGCTTTGAGTCACTTGAATTGCACCAACAAAGTTTCTCGAGAGAAGACATGCTAAATAAGACTGAAGATCAGGCGTCGAATTCGAAATAATGTCTGCTATCGTCTACCTGTCCGAACAGAGGAAAACAACGTCAGAGAACAAAAACACTTCAGCAAAACGAAACAACGCCTCAAATCAATTGGAGGCTTTGCAGACCCGAGGGATTTTTGTTTGGCCTTTTGGCCACTCTATGAACAAGTATGTACAAGTATTGTCACGGCATGTCAGGGCCATTCTACTAATAGAATCTAAAAGATGTTTCTTGGGCTGAGACATAAATATAGGCTGCTGATGGCTGCTGATAATACATGATACTGGAAACCACGAAGGGGTCGCTAGAGGTTTTTCGTTGTTTCCGCCCATAGAAGACCTGTTGTTGTCTCAATTTGACCCCCTGCCTTGTCTGCAATCATCGATCTTAATGTTGCTGGTGTCATTCAGCTGGCTTTCGTCTTCCAGGACCACCAGCAGGTTGCAGCCGTCTCCGTTCACTCCGTTGATTGCATTGTTTCCATTGTCCGGACAGCCCAACAAATCCTGGTAGTCAAAACAGCCAGAGGCTCAACGGGTGCATCACCACGGTCATAAAGCCAGCTACAACCGGACGAAGTCTACTTGTCCACTGAAAAGTAAGGTGCCCATTTCTGGGGTGAGTCACCAAGTGGGATATTCATGAAAGCTCTGGCTAAAAGACTTTTGAAGTTTGATATATGCTTGTATTGGGGTGTGGATGAAGAGTACTCCAAATCAGTGGTTTTAGAGCCTTCCGGGCATGTTCCAGCGGCTTTCCCGAAACTTCATCAGAGTTCATCTACCACCTTGGATCTCATGAATTTCAGCAGAGAGTCACCATCATTCAGGTTGGTTATTGGGGTCCAAATGCCGGCCCCAATGCAGGGTGTCGGCGATGGAGGCAAGGAAACGCCAGCCTGAGACACGGCTGGGACCCCAACACTTTCTGTGATCCTGCAGGGTTTTTCTAAGAGAAACAATCGAACGCTGATACACAATCTGGCAACCATCAGTTTGTAAAATGAATCTTAGGAAACACATGACAAGTTGGATCAGTTCGCAAGTTCCATTTCTGAAGTAGATGGATTTCAGAGAATCTGGTAAGCTTGATGAGAAGGTCAAGGACCATGTTCCATTGGAGCAATGAATCAACAGAATCCGTACAAGCAAAACACAAATTTCCTCTTCCAGCAAAAAATGGTTACGCTGTACGCCCAAAGACAGATGCACCATTGCAGGTGAGTTTGGACTTAAGTATACAGGAGTCCCCCACCCTGATACCAAGGATCGAAGAAAACACCACTGTCGGTCACAATTTCCTCGTTGAATGACAGCTGCCTGGCAACCATTCCACTTGGAACACCCGGCGAACTCAGATAAAAATGGAGGCCGCACCTTCCCATGCCGGGCCGGAAGCTGAAGTTGTAGGGAAGGGAGCCGGAAGGACACTCAACCTCCGCCGAAGCTAGTTGGAATGAGGGATGGTAGCAGCCAATAAACGTGCTCCAGTTTCTGACTGTTGATAAATAGAAAGGGGTGTATACCTAGATTTTCAATGATCTTCAAACGGGAATTAATTTCAGCCCAAACAGGATTTTCAGCCTTTTAGGGATTCGGGCAGAAAATCTGCCTGCGGGCTGAATTCTTAATTTTTATTGTATTCATTCTATTGATTTTGGGTTTAATTACAAATGTAAGGTATAAAATGGTATAAACACTTTTCATCCATAGCTGCGGCTCTTCAACAAGGTGCCGCTACCCTTTTACTTTGCCCTGCACAACCTGTTGAAATGTGATCAAGTTTAATCGCTTGGGATCCAAACAAGTGTTCGAGTAGAACCCGAAAAATGAGCTTTCATAATCTCCAAGTATAGTCCACCTAAACAAATGCTGATTTTACTGGTTTGAACTCGGAGGAGAATCGACGTGATTCAGGCGAGAATCTGCGGTAATCGGGCGAGAATAGCCGTGAAAGGAATTTGGGAACAGGTTGGTTTGGTATTTCCCCACCTGCCAGGTGAGGGTTGTTAGATTTTATCAGAGCTGTTCTTCCGCCTCCTCCTCCTCCTTCTCCTCCTCCGCCTCCTCCTCCAGTTTCTCCTCGACCATGTCTGCATCAACTTCCACGTCCACTTCCGCCTTGCCAACTCGTCGCCAATCTCTTCGCCAACTTCCGCGCGCAGTGGGCACTGCTGGACCTCAACTGCCGGCTTCGGCCTTGCCAACTCGTCGCCAATCTCTTCGCCAACTTCCACGCGCAGTGGGCATCGCTGGACCTCAACTGCCGGCTTCCGATCTGGGTGGGCAAGGCTGGACCTCAACTGCAAGGTTCTGAGCGCAGTGGGCACCGCTGGACCTCAATCAGGGACCTTCCGAGCCCAGTCAGCACCGCTGGACCTCAACCTGGGACCTTCCGAGCTCAGCGGGCCCCGCTGGACCTCAACGGCCAGATAGAATGCCTGAAGATATGCCAGCTAGAATGAATGCTGATATGCCTGCCAAAAGATATGCCAGATAAAATGCCAGAAGATATGCCAGCTAGAATGAGTTCTGATGTGCCAGATAGAATGCTACAAGGTATGCCAGATAAAGTTCAGAATGTTTGCCAGATAAAGTTCAGAAGATTTGCCAGATAGAATGCCAGATAGGATGTCAGAAGATATGCTAGAAGATATGCCAGATAGAATGCCAGAAGATATGTCAGTAACAAAATGTATAAATGTCATGGCGGGGATCACTCGAAGGAAAGTATTTTTTGTTTATCAAAGGCTTCTAGACTGTATTCTGGGCACCTCCAAACTCATTTCGACATGGTGTTGGTTCGCAACGTGTAGTATTTTTTGCAACCACACTTTTCCTTCTTGTTTTGAACCGTTTAGCAGTATATAATGATTTTCCTGCATATGTTATGCTATATATATATATATAAGCTAATATATTCTTATATCTGCCTATATATGGTCTCAGGCTGAAAAACACCCTCGGGCGAGAAATCCAGCAAAGGCAGAAATTTCAGCCTTTTCAGCCTCAAGCTGAAAAAAGGCATCCATGAAGATGCAGGTATAATTCCATCCTGATTCGGATTGGAATTCTATGGGTTTGCGTTAAAAAAATCCCATCCTCATGCTATGCTGTCCAGCTGCTGGTGCGGAAGTTGTAATCGTGGTGGTACTTTGTTCACGCAACTTGAAGGATTTCAGGAGTTTCTGTCCGAAATCTCACAACCAAAATCTGGAGAACATGCAGACACTTTTCCATGGAGAAGACATGTGCACGTCGCGATCCACGTCCTCTGGGCGGCTCAATGATCAAGTTCTCTTAGCCATCCATTCCATTACTGGAAAAATATTTGGCCCCAATGGCTCCAAAAGTTGGCGAAATGAAGCTCATGTTTCGGTCTTTCCATGGAAAAGGACTGGGAGCGTAAACATTCAAATGAAGGGGTATTCCTACCTGACAGCAAGTCTGACAGTTTAACTGGCATTCTACCAGTATCTGACATTCTATCTGGCATAATGTATTCTAACGTATTCTATCTCACCTATTTTCTGGCTTCTATCTTATATTCTATCTGACATTCTTCCTGGCATTGCATATTGCATTTTGTTTCAAACACTTTCTGGCATTGTCTTTCGCATTCTATCTGGCATTCCTATCTGACATATTTTCTGGCATTCAAAAAAATCTAACATTTAATCTGACATGCATTGTATCTATTGTATCTGACATTCTATCTGAAAATCTATCTGACAATCGGGTCTGGCATTCTATCTGGGGTCCAGCGCAACACAGAGAGTTAGTTCGCCACAAGGTTGGGTCCAAACCGCCCAAGAGAGCTCGCAAGGTCGCCACATGCTTCGGATCCGGCTCAACATAGCCCCAAATCACGCCCTAACAAACCATACCTCAAATCCTGAAAAATACCTTAAGCGAACCCTGATACAGGTGGTGCTGTTCATCAATCATCAAGAGAGTCAAAAAGGAAATGCATTCATTCAGGGCTCCCTACTACTTGGATGCGTATCCGACTTAGTAAGCAGGATATAATCCATTTATAACTTTATAACCTATGCAATCCCATATATAAATGGAGATAGTCCATAAATAACTCGGGGTCTGGCCCATTCACTAAGTCGGATGCACACGCAAGTATCACAAAGGCCTGCCACTTCCACCACCCCGTCCCGACCGTCCCAAACGTCCCGGACATTCTGACTTCCCCACCGCCCCCATCAATCCCAACCATCCCAACCATCATCAACTATCCCAACCGTCCCTGATCCACTATCCGACTCATTATCCATGACGCTGATCAATGACGCTGAGCCAAGACGTCTCTGAAGATGATTCTGTGACACTGATCCAAACTCAAAGATTCTGATCCCTTACGCTGATTCCGCTCGACAGATTCTGACACGGGGGGATGGCAGGGGGCCCAGCAGATAGGTGGCGCTTCTCATACTTAGACCCTCCCAAGTCACAGCCGGACTGATAAAAACTTCATAGACTGCAGTGACTGGAGTATAGTGGAGTGCAAACATCGTGGTAAGGGGTTGTTTAAAGTAGATAAGATTAGGTATGATTTGTGGTTAAAAGGGATGGCAGGGCAGCAGGCAGATCGGTGGCTTGCTTTATCCGTAGAATCTCCTTAACCTCCCCCAACATAGCAGAACACTAGCTCAGAACCTCCGGAAGATTCAGTTTTCCAATTTGGAAATTAGTTCTAAGTTCCCTTTGTTTGGAATCATTCTAAGTACCATTGGTTTAAGAGTTTAAGTTCTAAGTACTCTTGCAATCGTGTAGACTAGCAGCCAATTTTTTGGGACGGTTATTTTAAGATGTTTTAAGTACATGTCCGCCCCTATAGAGATGACCAAAACTGACAATATTTGTGCGATATCCCCATATATCGGAAATGCATTGAGCGCTACAACAAATTTGTTCTAAGTGGTGGTGGATGTTGGTGGGCCATGCTCCAGTTGTAAATTGCATTCATCATATTCATCTGTGTCACGCTTTGTATCCTAGATGTGAGGATGGAATGACAATGAATTTGATCTACCCCCGGGGCAGTAACAGTGAGCACAAGCCAGGGGCACAAAATGAGCACCAGCCAAATGCAGAAAATAAGGGTCTAATCTGGTGATATGATACGGATAAATTCTTATACCAAAACCAAACAATGGATCAGGTAGACACCATGAATATGTAAATCATCAAATGGTTGAAAAAATGTTTCATGTGAATCGGAAGGAATCAAGCTGCACAGGTGTATGTTTCTCTCTTCTCGGCTCTGGTTGCTACAGATTTGCTAGGAACTGGCCAACTTATCACCAACATTCCGTTGGAAACCTTAGCAATTCTTAGTAACTACGACAGCTTAGCAATGTGACAACTAGCAACAATAACAACAACCGCCCCCCACCAGCGAGAGCACCACCACGACCACTACAACCAGCAGTACCAGCAGCGGCAGCAGCAGCAGCACCACCACCACCACAACAACCACCACCACCAAACGCAAGGGGGGGGGGTTGGGGCTGGGCCTGGGGCTGGGCTTGGCTGGGCTGGGGTGCTGGGGGCTGGTGTGGTTGGGTTGGGCCTGGGGGCGCTGGGGCTGGGGCTGGGCGTGGCGCTGGGGCTGGGGCTGGTGGCGCAGATGACTTTTTTGGTTTTACTGTTTTCGGTTTTTTGTGCTCGGCTGGTGCTCAAATTGTGCCCGGCTGGTGCTCAAATTGTGCTCGGCTGGTGCTCAAATTGTGCTCGGCTGGTGCTCAAATTGTGCTCGGCTGGTGCTCAAATTGTGCTCGGCTGGTGCTCAAATTGTGGTCGGCTGGTGCTCAAATTGTGCTCGGCTGGTGCTCAAATTGTGCTCGGCTGGTGCTCAAATTGTGCTCGGCTGGTGCTCAAATTGTGCTCGGCTGGTGCTCAAATTGTGCTCGGCTGGTGCTCAAATTGTGCTCGGCTGGTGCTCAAATTGTGCTCGGCTGGTGCTCAAATTGTGCTCGGCTGGTGCTCAAATTGTGCTCGGCTGGTGCTCAAATTGTGCTCGGCTGGTGCTCAAATTGTGCTCGGCTGGTGCTCAAATTGTGCTCCGCTGGTGCTCAAATTGTGCTCGGCTGGTGCTCAAATTGTGCTCGGCTGGTGCTCGAATTGTGCTCGGCTGGTGCTCGAATTGTGCTTTTCTTGTGGTCCCTCAGCTGCTTTGCATTGATTTTTGGTCATTTCTGATTTGCCCACGTCCGGTGCTCAAATTGTGCTCGGCTGGTGCTCAAATTGTGCTCGGCTGGTGCTCAAATTGTGCTCGGCTGGTGCTCAAATTGTGCCTAGCTGGTGCTCAAATTGTGCTCGGCTGGTGCTCAAATTGTGCTCGGCTGGTGCTCAAATTGTGCTCGGCTGGTGCTCAAATTGTGCTCGGCTGGTGCTCAAATTGTGGTGCTCAAATTGTGCTCGG